TGCACTCTGTTCCTTTCAATATTATAGAAACAAGTAGTTGTCGAAGATAGCAGATCATGTATCTAGAAAAGATTTTACGAAATGTTATGAGCAGACCGCTTGGAAAAGGAAGGTAAAGTCCTTGTATTGTTATCATCGAGTATAAGGAAACGTTTAGCTCATTGAAGAGAAACCAGTTCAAGAAGTAGAGAAACTAAGTCCTGTGGATTACAGAGTAAATAGGAACACGAAGTTACCACAGTGTACCATAAAACTTGCTTTTACGGTGATTTGACAGAGGGGGCGAGAAAGAACATCAAGCGATGGTGGCACTAATGCAGGATTTGATAAAACTTTGATAAGTACATATCCATCACCAGTAGTAATAATCACTACGAAGGACAAATAAATTAGATTAAAAATTGATGAATGAAAACTTAATTTCAAAAAGTACTACATGAAAAAAAGAAGTCTCTTGCTGTGGTCTTCAATTCGACAATTAAGTATATATATGACGTTTTACCAATTAATAATGATCATTTTCATTCATATTTTGATTCGATATATCCCATTGAACGCGATATAAAAGGCATCACGGAGTCTGACACAACTGTTTCATATTTGGATGCTTTACTAGAGAGATATAGATGGCAAATAACAATTACACCTTATGATAAACGTGATAACGTGATTTAACTTTTCTATCAAAAACTTCCCTTACTAGTATTTATGTAACAATTTAGCATTATCACCTGCGTGTGAAATTATGTCTCACAGTTGATTCGATACGCAAGAGCTTGTTCTTCATACGAATAATTTCTAAAACGAGGCATGCTACTGACAAATACGTTGATGATACTAAGGTATCTATGATCTGCTTTTGAAGTCAACATTTCGCAAAATCTATGATTGATACAATGACCTTGTTTGTAAATACAATCTGTCGTTAGGTCGAATTTTGATTGACGTACGTCTTTCATACAAAATTATGACATTATTTGCATACTGAATTGACTACGGAGTTCTCCGTTTACCTGATCATGGTGTGACCGATCGACAGGGGATGCTTACTCCTCCATGGCACCTGATCCCACCTCTGACGTTTTCAGAGGTCCCTGTTTGCTCTTCTCACAATTTATATGGTTACATTGGACTTTTAAACATGATTACTGTTCGATGTGTTCATATTTTATTAGATAACACAATTTGACCCTAAACCTTATTCAAAAATCGAAGATATTATCAACAGTTTGGGAAAGGGAGAATAATTTAATTAGACCTTACAAAAGGTTATTGTCAAAACAGTCTAGACGATGAGGGGAAGAAAAAACGTGCGTTCGTGACTATTTGGACATTACCAATTTACGGTTATGCCATTTACAATGATAAACCTCAGTTACAACCTTCAACCGGTTAGTAATAACGATTTTTATTGACCATAATTTATTTTTATATTCCTTAATATATGATACCATTTTTATTGAAATTTTTGAGTGCCACATAAAGGTACTGATGATTTTGTTACAGAGTGCTGGTCAACATCCAATCAAGAAATGTGAGTTTGGTTAACAATGGAGTTTTTTCATATGGATTGAAACACTCATGTACAACCAACACCTGAGAAAACAGGCAATCTTGAAAGCAACACGTTCGAATAAAAAGAAAGAGGCAGGTTCTTTTCTAGCTTCAATTTTTTTTTGGAAGTTCAGAACCAATTTCTTTACAAAATCAGCTTTGTTGTTATCACGCAGATTTGACGATGAAAAAGACAACCAAATAGTGTTTGCAGTTTAGCTACATTCAGTATACTGATACTAAGTAGGGACTACTGTTTGTAAAACAAGCGTGCGGCCATGTGTGTAGTTTTGTCACTATATAGGTTTTCTTCATGGAGGATTGCAGAAGTAAGTCTGGCCCCAGGGCCATAGGGCTATAAAACTTAGATGCTTTTGATCTCACTCTCAGTGAGACTAAGATCAATAAGTGAGCTTGTTTAAGTTTTATGGCCTCGGAGCCTTGTCACAGATAGCATGGGAATAGGTGACATACTGTGTTTGGGCGTTTTCTTCAGTCGTCTATAGTGCATAACTTATACTGGGGGCTACGAACGGTGTTCGGTTGGTTTCCGTCTAGGAGGGGAGCACTTGGTGAGACCGTGATGGAAATAGACATTCCGTTAAAATTACATGCGCGTTAATACTATACGTCTGCATACAATGCCTTCTGAATACTGATAAGTTTTTAGTGCGAGACCTGCGAGTTCGGGGCTGGAAATGTGTGAATGTATCAGATACATGGTGTTACTTTCAGAAATGGTAATTTTTGGAAGAACAAATTCTGAGACAAACTTTAAAGTTTGATTAAAGAAATGAACGGTTTTTAAAACTTTACACTGACATAAACTGTATTTATAAAGAATTTTTTCTAGGTTGAACATTTTGTTAAACAAATTTGAATTTGTTATTATGCTATGCTCGAGTTTCTGGTTAACACACACACACACACACACACACACACACACACACACACACACACACACACACATATATATATATATATATAAGTAGATTTTGGAGATCAGGTCTTCCAACAATCTGTCGGTATTCCCATGGGTACTAACTGCACCTCGTTATTAGCAGACCAATTTTTATATTCAAATGAATCAGAATTTATTCAAAAACTTATACATGAGGAGAAGACACTTGCTTCAACATTTAGATATATCGACAACGTATTATCAATTAACAATAGTTGCTTCCATTTGTCGACTCGATATATCCCAGTGAACTTGAAATAAAAGATAATACAGAGACTGACACATGATTTATTTGGATATTTTACTAGAAAAAGACGTTAATGGTAACCTAACAACAAAACTTTATGATAAACGTAAAGACTTCAACTTTTCTATCGTCAACTTCCCTTACTTACTGTATGTAGCAATACACCTTTATCACATGCACGTGGGGTTTATATCTCCCAGTTGATTCGATTTGCAAGGGCATGCTCCAAGTACGAACAATTTCTAAAACGAGGCAAGCTATTGACAAACCAGTTGATGAAACAAGGATATCAATAGTGTCGTTTAAAATCATCATTTCGCAAGTTTTATGGTCGATACAATGACCTTGTCAGCAAATACAATCTATTAAAGCCAATATTTAAAAACTGATTAGAATCCGTTAGCCCGATCATGACAATAGCACACGGCAGATGTGACCGATCGACAGGGGATGCTTACTCCTCCATGGCACCTGATCCTACCTCTGATGTTTTTAGAGGTCCGTGTTTGCTCTGCTCCCGATTTGTATTGTTTCAATGGACTTTTTAGTTTACGAGATTGTAATGGGTAATTCGACGGAAGAAGGTATTGAAAATTTGAATAAATTATAAAAATGAAAAAAAAAAATCAGAATTTTTCTAAAACTTTTATCTTTTATGGCTCTCGATTTTTCAGAACATTAAATTAAAAAAACATGTACCCCATACCCGACTTTCATGTTTTTTAATCATATCATTTATTAAATATGCAATATATTCAACATTTTGATATTTTCTCTAGGACTTCACAAAAACAAAACAAAACACCACCATTACAATATTAATGCTGTTACCTAAATATATTATGTTCGAATGAGGTCAAAGAAGATTATGGCGATAATGGTGCTGTTATTTATATAGGATATTTGTGTTTACCATCAGTGCATTGTCATTCATTAGCGGATTTACTAATCATTAGTCCTAATTATAAGATATGCATCATTTATTGATAGCATATGTTTATTTTGGTTTCCCAGAATTTCTGATATATACATGTACAGGTATTATAGATAAAAAAGTAAAAGATGAAGATAATGAACAGTGATCAATCTCACAAACCCAGTAAAGAATACCGACCCCTGGAAACACCAGAGGTGGGATCAGGTGCCTAGGAGGAGAAAGCATCCCCTGTCGATCGGACACTCCCGCCGTAAGTCCTCTGTGTTGATCAGGTATACGGAATAATCCGTAGTCAAAATGGTATAGAAACAGTGCAAGACACAATCGGTGATAAAACTTGAAATACCTCCATTAATTATCAAGCTCTCTATCTCGATTAAGTTCTACGTCCGTTCTTCAAACTCACGTATTTTTTTTTTTATTTTTGCTTTCAAACTGAGACCCAAAGAATGCGTTTACAGTGTTCGACTGACTTTACTTGAAATGTAACATAGTACGTTTTAGTTACTGTAAAAAAAAAATCGCCTCCCACGCTTTGCAAGATTTGAAAGCTAAACCACCCACATGTATATTTTAAAAGGGTCTTTGAAATTTATCATTTGTTGCTAAAGTTTGCCCTAATATTCCATCTTCAATGTAATAATGTCGATATAATTAGGTGTCGACAATATGAAACGAGAATATTTCTCAGAATACTCCATTTTCTAATTTTGGCCTTCAATGAAAACTGGAACTTGTAATGAGGAAATTTTCTTAGTTTATATAGCTATCAAAACAAATTTGTTTTTTTTTTTCGATGTCGACCATGAAAGTATTTCACAATTCTCTGTCTTCTTTGAAGAGTTTTTAATGAGACGCATCTAAGAATATTTTGATAGAAATTTCCAAAGGTTATTAACGATATTCAATATGTCATTTTCGATAACTTTTAGAAAGTATTAATTTTTAGTATGACAACAAAAAGATAAGAAGCAAACTCTCCAAGATTCAGATGATTGGCATTTAACAGTAAGATTTAATGACATACATTTTTGTCCTGAAAAACACCACTGCCTGTAAGCACTGCATCTGCTTAAATGCTGAAAAGGATTTTTTTTCCGTATAAAACTGTCTTACTGCCAGGTTTCGTAATCATCTTAAGTTTGTTATAAAAGCGAAATTCATTCATAAGTCACCTAGTTGTACATTTATCATGGAATTGCCTACTGTGATTGTGGTTCTAATGGCAGTAGAGACTGACAGGACGCTTTTAGCTATCCGTCTTATCGCTCCTATTATGGTACCTCCGTGTGTTGCATTTTAAAACTCTCAGTGAAAACACATCTTCGTTACTATTCATTTCCGATCGATCGCATAATGTGACGCTCTTTCTGAGATTTCATGTCGAATAAAACTAAGACTTATTGGAGCAAAGAACTAAGTGTACTTGGAGGGCGATGATGCAGCTGTGGGTCATCTTCCCATTGCTCCTGTCAGCTCCATTGTAACGCTGGAAACTTGAGTACTTTCACCTCCAATTGTCGTGCATCTCTCTGTAGCTGAAAGGATATCGTTTCAATATTTACCTGAGACGTTAAAATTGATTACTTGTTCATGGAATCTTTTCCTCATTAACGTCCAATACAGACGCTGTGTCGTTTACTACCTTACCGTTATGTATTTGCACTTTTCTGAAGAGTGATCAAGACTGTACCTACTTGGAATACACAAGAGACGCTTTACACCACAACTTATCGCCTCCTATCGATGTGGTTGGACTTGCTGCTCATTTTCATTAATTCTAAATTCAGTGAGGGACTAGTTAGGTCATTTCTGTCAGTTCCGCTTATAAACAGTCTTGTTAATCGCAGATGATTGTCATTATGAATTCGGGAAGTTGGTTTAGCATAATTATTCGTCCCAAGAGTTAAGAATTCGGAATACACAATATATGTTGTGAAAATTCGTTTTACTAGAAAGGACGTGAGAAGCCATTGTATATTTTGATTAGAATGGAAAATCGCAAGGATTTCAATTGCAATGGAGCAATCAAACACAGCCCAGAGGAACGCGCACCTTGTTTGGATAAAAACATGAAAAACAAGAGGAATTCTGTGGAGAAAGTTGATGTGACAGTGCATTTGTACGATAAGACAGGGTGCTCAGGACCCTGGACTTCCAGAGAAAAATACCTGACTGTTGTTTGTGTTCTATTGTTCTGTGCTTGTATTGCATTTGTCGCCGTGGCTTTTATTCGAGACCACGAAGGTAAGTGCTGATATTCCCTCCTAGACAGTTTATTTTTGTCTATTATTTTTTGTCAGTTTACTTGGAGGGATGAAATCGAGAATCACTAACGAATTCTTTGTTTATTGAGTTTAAATATTGTTCAACACATTTTTATTACAGCAAACACGACCGAGAAACCCTCTTTAGAGGTTGTGGAACTTACCTGTATATTCTTAAGAGTTGAACTCGAGAGGTTTTTTCATAAAGCGAAAAACAATGCTATGTTAGATTATGATAAATTAGGAATGAAACATTTAAAGATGGGCTAAATCTTGAAAATTGCATGTTTTTTTTTTTTGTTTGGTAGACAGATGCCAAGAAATCTTCGGGTTCCCTGGAAAAAATTTCACAGAATATTTACCACACCATATTCTCAAGTTGACTATAGAATTTTGTTATGAATCTATTGATTCGTCATGAGTAGGTTTCAGTTTGAAATATTTTGTTGCATTTACTGGTTTCTTTCATACAACAATTGTTGCATTACATTTAAAGTCTCTGTATTATCTGATTATGAAAATCTATAATAAGAAAATGCATTCATTATAAGGAAAAGAGTCCATTTGTAATGGACACAGTTATGCTTAGGTCTTGCTTTTGACACATGTTGTCATATGCAAATGATCTTAGATGCCGGTAAAACTAAACTATCTCCGATTAGGCAGAGCGATTGAATAGAGAGCAATCAACTTAAATCTCATGACAATTTTGTTTTCTATTTGATGTCAACTTTTCCTTAAAGTATTTTTATGATTCCTCTACGAAGCAGTTATTTTGAAGAAAAAGTTTCAAAATTTAATAGTTTTAATACCTGTTATTTTGCAGATTTAAGTACGCTTGAAAAAAATGTTAATGTCCCTTAAACATTGTGTATTTTGAATTATTAACGCATTTAGATTTGACTGGATGCATAAAAGGCATGCGGCTATTCGTTCTGGAATAAATTATCCAGCTTCAAATTCTGTGTGCTTAAGAACCTTGACGAGTAATTTGTAAGAAAATGTGTAGAATTAAATATTTTGAATACTTAACCAACCTCAATCATTTTTATTTGTTATCTTTATGGAACCATGCCTGACAATGAGATACAGAGTTCTTCTACTAATTTTATGCTCTTTGAAAACCAATCACAAAGGTTATCTGATCTTAATTCCATCTTCTTAATGTGACCAAATTATCACATTCCCTGTTATTGAGAGCTTGTCTCCGTTTCAGTTTTGAATTATGTGCATAAAATTCACAGCTATAAACCTTTTTTCTTGACGATTTAGCATGCAGTCGTCAACAAGTTAGCAAAACTGACATTTGAAAAATTGAAATAAAAGTGGCATTAAAATTCTGTTTACCATAAGAAACAGAGGAAATCAAAATACGGCAAACCGGAGAACTGAGAATTGAGTTGTCAATAAGGCCAAGAGGCTCAAGGTTGAAAATCAATGAAAGACAAAGAATACCAACGTATTATATTAACTCAGATGTTTGAAACGAAAGTTCGTTGTTCTTTGAGAATGAAAAAGACTCCAAAAATGTAAAATACAACAGTTAATGCGTAGAAATCGACTTTTTCACTTATTCTACATGCAGATAATGCTTTCGCTGATTGGTTCATTATTGTTTTTTCTTTAAGCATTACATATATCAGAATTCACCGTCAAAACATTCAATAATTAAGATTAATAAAAATAACGAACTCCATTATTTCCACCAAGCGTATTCTCCATACCAGAAATATAAAACAAGAAGGTGCAATTAGATAGAAACTATGTCGTCATGGAAATCCCCCGGAGTAGCGGAAATACTCCGGCGGTCCCTGCTTTCCGATTTCTTTGTAGTCTGGTGAAGCGATCATATTCCGTTACAATTCTCTCTTTTACACTTAACGATACCTTTAATGAAATAATTCTGAGCTTGATTTTATTTTACTAGTGATAAATGTTAATAAGATTACACGTTTTCCGCTTCACTCAGACTCGGAAACGGATCTGGGACCATAATTGACGGAATCGATCATAGAGGTACTTACAGGGGTGTCAGGGTTTGCACCCATCTCCCACTTTTTTGTTCGAGATAGTAAATACATCCCGAAAATGTGGGATATTTGTATGAAATTCCCTATTTGTTGCTTGTCAAAGGACCTAGCTACTAAGTTCGAAGATGCAATTCCTTGACTGTGCCCCTCCCATTTTTCGTCGAAATAGTAATATAGAGCGCTTCTAGTAAATGCTCGTGCATGTAGTGTATGATTTATGAATGACCTTTTTTTTTTGTTTTTTGTTACTTAGGATGGGTGACGATTCAGATTAACAAAGTATAATTACAATTATAGATATTCATTATGTCGGGGGAGCATGCTTTATGAATATTTCTAATAAAAGAGCACAACTTTTTTTCAAAACGATTGCTTGTTTGAGTTATTATAGCTTTAAATGTAATCACATACTGTATTTTCTTTGGCGATAAACATTGTTTTCATATTTCCTTTCAGGAATGTGCAATTTAGTATACAAGTACCTTTTTTAAGCATAGTACAGTGTATTGTTTTTCTCGGTTCGTTTCTCCAGTGCCCATGTACAAGTGTTACGTCTAAATGGTAATCTATAAAGGTGAATGCATTTTTTTTCGGCAGAACATCTAAATATTTTTCGAATTTTAGTTCACCTTTTGGCACATGTTAACATGTGTTTTGTTATATGTTTTCAGTATCTTGGTTTCTACTGAACGTCACACCAAATGTGGCTTTCACAAAAGTAACTGCTTATTAGGAAATAACTGAATGGCATCATTAATTGTTCTTCCATTTAATTTCCTCCAAAAAGTGAGAGACACAGATATAAAACATTTTTTAATTAAAAAAAGTTCACATTTCTACAATAAATCCAATTATTTATTCGTTAGAAGAATATTCTTTGGACCTTGATACCTTATCCAAAAAATTGAATAAAATATTGTTCTTATAGGAACATCTAAGCTTAATTAATTGGTTCGTAAAGTGATAGCCGTCTTAATTAACATTATTTGCACAGCTTTTATCGATGAGCGAGACATTAAATCTAATTATTGGCTTAACACAACGTTTTTATTTCATCTCATAAATTCCCTTAACCATACTTAAAAAAAACGAAACCAGGAAGTTCTTTTTACGGGACTCTCTTGATTTTTTTTTTTTTTTACCCTTAAGCAATTCTTCACAGTTCATAAAAGTATCGATCAAGTCAATTTCATTTTCTTTTTTGGCAATAACAAGACAAATAAATGTTCTTTTATTGGTATTGTTTAACTGTTATCTGGAGATTATAAAGTAGAAAATTTGATTGTTGCATGATAACCGTAAGTTTGCCCCCCCCCCCCCCCCAAAAAAAATAATCACATCTCAGTAGAATTATTCTTTTCAAAATTGTCATATCAATTTTTAACACGCTGCTATCTTTGCACTGATGAAACTATTTTATGCATATATAATGTCTGTTCTGTTTTCATTCTCTTACTACTTCATAATAACATTTTATTGCTGCATGCTTGCACTAAGCGACTGAAAAAAAATTCAATTAATCAACACTTCTGTATTTAAATTTTCCATTACTTCCCATCTCTCTTTCTTTGATCAAGAGTTCTTACATACAGCAAGTAAGGACATAAGGGTCAATTAGTGGCAGCATTAGAATTTCAATTATCCTTTCAAGTAATGCCATGATATAGAATTTTACAAAAACTCTTCCAGTTAGTCCTAATAGAACCTTCAAAAACCCAACAATGCGATCCTTTCTATTCTAAGATTCATTAAGCTTTGTACTAATTGTTCTGAATTTACGTATCAAAAGTACAAATGGGAAAAAAACCATATGCTTTTTGTAATAATGTTTTTTGCAACAATGCAACAGCAGGCTCTCTAGTAAAAACGTTTATTTTAACACAACAACACTCGCTATCGACAACATATCGTTAGGCAATTAATCATCCTCTTTATCGAGAAATTAACCCTGTACAAATAGGCTACAGGAATCGATGAGATTAATTCAAAGAAACCGTCCGGTAGACATAAATTAATGATGTGGTCTGCCAGCAAGACCACAGGTGCAATTCCCCGACACTTATCATTGCCCCCAGTTCAATAAAATTATATTTAATAGACTCACTGAGGTCGTCTAAAAGTAACATTCTCTTTTTGACAAACTCTGCTCTCATTCATACTGAGAACCGGTTTGTAACGGAAAATTATTGTTTTTTTCCTTTTTCTGAACAGTAATACATTATATATTTTTTGGAATTATTACATGTATATATCAAGATGCATTATCTTTATTTCAGACGAAATAACTTCAATTTGCTATTTTAATAGATGTGTTCATTTTACACTGATTTAGGTACATGTATATTTAAAACCTTTTTTTTTCTAGAACAACACGAACAAAAACAAATTTTGAACAGACCTATATTGGCGATGAAAGGCCCTTTCTTCAATCGATGATGGTATTACAGACATACAGTTACTGTATGTATAACGCATTTCTGCAAATTGATACAAAGTCATTAGATTTTTCCGTCGTGACAACTAATTAATAGAAATCTAGATTTCCGCCATGTTAAAGATGTTGCCTTCATACTTTTCAAGGTATCGCCATTGATGTGTTCAAAGACCTTATCTAAAAATTTATTGTACTTCTTCCTTGTTCATCTACAAGTCTAAGTACATGTAATAATCCCAATTTTCAAGCCTCTTTACTCAGCATTTTGTCCTATAGTAATACCAATATTGTCATTTTTTCCTATACTAAGACATATATTGTCATTTTGTCCTATAGTAATACCGATATTGTCATTTTGTCCTATAGTAATACCGATATTGACATTTTGTCCTATAGTAATACCGATATTGACATTTTGTCCTATAGTAATACCGATATTGACATTTTGTCCTATACTAAGTAATACCGATATCGACATTTTGTCCTATACTAAGTAATACCGATATTGACATTTTG